CAGAGGGTGTATCAATTATAACTTAATGGCAAAAAGTCAATGTGATAAATGTAATAAAATATAAATAATAAAATAAGATAAATTAACTCAAATGTAATAAAACTGCAAACACGGTATCAATCTCTATACAAGCTATTCAGAAAAGAGAGTCAGAAAACCAATTTTTCCTTCCACAAAATTTCTCCATGCAGAAGAGTTTGCGAGTTTATAAGGAGCTCATAAAGCTTCTCATCCTAGCAGGCATCACCAACATTTTATGTTTTCTGCAAAGAACAACATAACAATCATTTGTGACTGGACAAGGAACTCATGGACATATGCCCTTCAATTCCTATGTCATGTAAGTCTCTTCATGCATACAAAGATAATTAAAAGAATATTTTTAATAAATTCATTGGATCAAAATTATCATATGCTTAATATTTATTTATTTATTTATTTATTTATTTATTTAAGATGGATTCTCACTCGGTTGCCCTGGCGGGAGTGCAGTGATGTGATCTCGGCTCACTGCAACCTTCGCCTCCACATCTCAAGCGATTCTCCCGCCTCAGCCTCCCGAGTAGCTGGGATTACAGGCTCCCACCATCATGCCCAGCTAGATTTTGTATTTTTAGAAGAGACGAGGTTTCTCCATGTTGTCCAGGCTGGTCTCGAACTCCTTTGACCTCAGGTGATCTACCTGCCTTGGTCTCCCAAAGTGCTGGGATTACAGGTGTGAGCCACTGTGCCTAGCCGGCCTAGGCATTTGTAAACTTTTACTTGTTAGTTGAATTTTTAATATATATGCATAAATGTTAGGCATACAGCTTACTAATTTTCACAAAGTGAAGAGGCTTATGCAAACACTATTCCAGTTAGAAAGTAAAACATTACTAGCACTCAAGGAGTACCTCCAAACTTGTGCTTCTTAACAACTGCCATCCTCCACCATTCTCCTCAAAAATAACCAATATTCTATTATTTTTACCACTGTAGATAAGTTATACCTGTTTTTAAACTATATGTTTGGAATCAAACTCTTTGTCTCTTTGTAGCAGATTTCTTTTGCTTAAAATGATGTTTGCGAGATTTGTTTTGTTGCATGTGGATGTAGTTGTTCATTTTCATTACATATGGTATTCAATTGTATCAATGTATCATAATTTCTCTAACCACTATGTTGCTGATGGCATTTTCATGGTGCTCAGTTTCCAAATATTAATAATCCTGTTATGAGCGAGCATTCTTCTGCACAAAGCTTTTGTTAGATGCGTATCTAAGAAGGAAATTGGGGAATTTGCGGATAATACCAAACAATTTCCAAAATGATTTTAACAATTACATTCTTACCAGCAGTGTATAAAGGGTGGCGTTGCTCTGCATTTTTGCCAATACTTGGCATGGTCAGTTTTTAAATGTTAGCCATTTTGATTATTATAAAGTGTTATTGTGATTTTTATTTGCATTTCTCTGGTGACTAATGAGGTGGCATACTTTTATGTTTATTGGCCCATTCTGCTGAGGTACTAGTTAAGTCTCTTGCCCAGTATTCTACTGAGTTGTCTGTATTTTTTCTCTGACTGATTTTTAGGAATTCTTTATATATTATGCACATGAGCCCCTTGTCAAATTATATGTGTTAGAGATATATTCCCTTACTTGCCTTTCACTTATATAATTTTTATTTGACAGAGATTCTTATTTTTCATGTGTATGTTTATAATATTTTTCTTTATGGATATGGCTTTCTTTTTTATTTTATTTGAGAAATACTTCCCCACCCCAAAGTCTTAAAGATATTATCCCATTTTTTCTTCTCAAATATGTATTGCCTTTTCTTTCATGTTAAGATATTCAATCTACTTGGAACCCATTGTTGTATATGGTGTGTGGTAGGGATGGTTTTGTTTCTTCTCCATGTAGATATTCAATTGACTCAGTGATGTTTATTTATTGAAAAGGGCATGTTTTACATAGTGCTCTTCAGTGAATGTTTATCATAAATCATAGATGAGATGGTTTGCATTCTTTATGGTGAAGCATTTGTCCATCTTAATGTTAATATCATACTATTTAACTAACTATTAGTGCTTTATAGTAAGCCTTTATCCCTGATAGAGTAACTTCCCTCACATTTTTGCTTCATATTCAAGAGTGTTTGGACTATTTTTGGCACGTGCACTTTTATATGTATTTTAGGCGATCGCTATCAATTTCCACAATAAAAATTGGAATTCTTTTGTTTGGAACCAATAAGTATACTTGAGGATAATCTACATTTTTACAATGTTAGTATTCTAATTTTTGAATAAGGCACATATTAATATTTCTCCATTTATTTGGTTCTTCAGTTTTTCTAAATTTTCCATATACATCTCTCTCTCTCTCTCTCACACACACACACACACATATACACATAGATATATGTACATAGTATTTGTATCTCTATATCTGTCTATCCTCTCCTCCCTAGTGCATACATCGGAAGGCACATAAAGTAAGTTTGTCTCCTTCTAGCGGTTTTAACTTTGATCACTCAATTAAGGTGGTACCCACCAGATCTTTTCACCTTACAGCTACCATTTATTTCTCTTTACCATTCATTTCTTTTTTTAATTAATAAGTAAGCTGAGAGATACTTGAAGTCTCAGTAAATGTCTTGTTCTTCTTCACACATGCACTCAATGGTTTAAACATTCATTTATGATTCCTATCTGAATACATTTTCAATTATTGTAATATAAAGATGAGCTTTCTCTTCACCTTTATTTCTTTATTTACTTAATATTTGTATGAACTTATGGTTTCTTATTTTATTCAATGGTAATGACTGTCGCTTTTCATTTTCAAGTTAAATTTGCCTCGAGTATGGCCAGTTGGAAGCCTCTTTAAGTTGGCTTTGTGTAATTTTGACAAGTCCTCTTTATTTTTGAGGACTTCTTTATTTTTGGCCTTATAAGATGTTACAAGCTCATTTTTTAACTTTAATAAACATGGAATTAGCCAAATCTTCAAGGAGCCCTCTTTTCTTTTAATTTGCTAAATTAATTTTTCATTATAATGTTTATTATAAATTCTTTCGGATTTTAATTCATCTATAAATAATGGTGGTTTTCTTTCTTTCTTCCAATCTTTTTTTTTTTATCATTTATATTTCCTGCATTTTGGGATTTTGTAGGATTCCTAACACAATATTAAATCTAAAAAGTGATATTGAGACCCTTGTTTCGGATCTAATTTCAGAGGAAAAGCTTTCAACCTTTCACCTTCAGAAAGGATGATGTTTGTACTATGTTTTTGTAGATGCCTTTTAAGATGTAAAAGTTTTCTTTTTTTCCTAATTGCTAAGATTTTTAAAATCATAAATGATAAAGTATTAGTGTCCTATTGCTACTGTAACAAATCAGTCAAATTCAGTACAGACTTACTACCTTACAATTCTGGAGGACAGAAGTCCAAAATGTATCAGCAAGGCTGCCTTCCTTTTGGAGATTCTAAAGGAGCATATGTCTCCTTGCCTTTCCAGGTTCTAGAGGCTGTCCACATTCCTTGGCTCATGGCCATCACTCCAGGCTCTGCTTTTGTGGTCACATCTTCTCTGACACTGCCCCTCCTGCCTCCTTCTAATAAGGACCTTAGTGATTACATTGGCCTGATCAGGATAATCATGCAGAATATGCCCACCTCAAGATCCTCCAATTAATTACATCTAAAATGCCCTTTTATCATGTAAGGAATCATTTCCATTGGTTATGGGGATTGAGTTATGTAAATCATTCATTAGAAGCCTTATCCAGCCTATCCCATGTCCAGCCTATCCCAGAAAATAAATGTTTATCAAATAATTTTTCTGCATCTACTGAAATGATCACAAATCATCTTATTCTATACATGTGGTGACTTCATTTTCAAAGTTTTATGTTGTTAAACAACCTGGCTTTCCTTGAATAATTCAGTTTCCTTGTGATGTGTTACCCCTTGTATAGGTTGCTTGATTTCCATTGATGATATTTTGCTCAGCATTTTGCATTTATCTTCATAAGTAAATTAGCCTGTAATTTTCTCTCTTTTGATGTCCTAGACAGTTTTCTTTTTTAAATACAGTAATTCTGGCCTCAGATAATGAGTTCAAAAGTATTTTTCGTTTTTCTAGTATCCTTAAACTTTCTGCTTTTGTCTTTATTATTTCTTTTCTCATACTTTCTATAGATTTAATCTGCTTTTTCTCTAATTCCTTGAGTGAGAATTTGAGCTAGAAGTATATGTATATTCTTTCTGATATACGTATTTAATGCTAAAAAGTCCCTCTAACATAACTTTAGATGCAGTTAACAAGTTTTGACATGTAGCCTTTTCATTATTGTCGTCACTAATTCCACATATATAAATAAAGTCTACTTTTCCTTTTGATTTCCTTTTACCTATAGCTTCTTGACTGTCTTATCCAGAATATGTACATTCATACACATATACACACAGATTTTCTCTGTGGGCATATTGATCCAAATTGTTTTCCTCTCATTATCAGCAGCAGTTTTCTCTGTGACTATTTGTAGACTATTACTATATATACATGAATCTACAAATAATATATGGTATTGTTCCTTGGGCTTTCAAATGTGTGTATATATATGTGTTATATTGTATCATTTTACTCATTGTTGCTTATATTTAGATTTTTATATTTGTTAATATTGATAGGTATAGCTCTAGTTCATGTATTTAAATTTCTGTTTATTTCATTGTTTCATATTAATAAAAACTACAATTTATTTATCCATTTTCTTTTCGGAAGTTTTTAAGGTTATATCCACTTTTATTGATATTATAAACAGTGCTACAATTCTCATGTTGTATATATCATTTTGTGTATTTTTGCCAAATGTGTCTCTAGCTAATATGCTTGAAGGAAGAAGTGTAGCATCATTAGGTGTAAACTTCTTCAATTGACTGGATATTTTTCAA